GTCAAAGCTGCTGCCCAGCAGCAGCTAGAAGCAGCGCCAAGGGTTTTGGATGGAGCACAGCCCCATCAATATTTTGTTTCAGATCCCTGTTCCCAGAATTTCCACAGGATAATTTCTCTTGTTTTGAGCCATCCAGGCTGTCATACTTTATTTTGGTAGCATTAGAAATCAATAGTATGTCTAGGTAACAGTATTATATACATAAAGATTTTTATGTACACATGATCTAAGAAGGATCATACATATGTGTATATCTATGTGAACAAAAGTGGTTTTTAGGCCAAGCGTGGTGGTACACATCTGTGGTAATCCTAGTACTTAGGAGGCTAAGGTAAGAATATCATGAAGGGAGCAGGGTAGTGGTGCTGCACACCTTTAATTCCAGTATGCAGGAGGCAGAGGCAGGTAGACCTGAGTTCAAGGCCAGCCTATTTAACACAGGGAATTTCAGGTCCACTAAAGATAAAGATTCACAGAGAAATGGTACAGGGGAAAAGCACTTTAAAAATCACAAGAATGGCTGTGTGTGTGTGTGTGTGTGTGTGTAAGAGAATGGTTTGTTTGTATCTGTCTCAAAAGCAAAAATGTAATAAATACTGAAAAAAAAAACTAAAAGGATTCAAGAGAGCCTTTGTCTCAACAAAAAACAAAAGAAAAAAGAAAATTTGCTTCTCAGTCTTTTGACTAGGCTCATGTATAAAATATTTTAAGTTTTTTATTATTGTTTATGTGTGTGGGCATGCTTGCTACAGAATGCATACAGAGGTCAGAGGGCAACTTTATGGAGTGGAGTCAGTTCTCTTCCTCCACCTTTATATAATTGACAGGATGGCAAAGCAAGCATCTTGACCCCTCTGAGCTGGTTTGCCAGGCCAGAGTGTTTTTCTTAAAAACAAACTCTTATGTCTCTTTATGGTCTTTATACTCATTAGGTATCTCCCATGAAGATCAGGAACACTTAAGCCAAAACTATCAACTAAGACTGAGTCTCTCCTAAGACAGCCCTAAGCAGCCCCTGACAGGAGCAGGACAGACACCAGCCTGGTGGCCAGCAAAGCGAGGGGAAAAATGAGGGGAAAGGACCGTAAGGGCTGGGTAACACAGCCCACTCACATGTCCTGAGGGAGAGCTACATTTGCTTCCTACACAGCCCTGGGATCACTGAGGAGGAATAGTCAGCCATGGATTATGGTGGTGAGGGGGCATGGAGGTGCAGGCGTGTCACCTCACAGCATCCCAACAGCATGGAGATGTGGCCAGACTCAGTTGGCTCTCTGTCTCTCCACAAAGGTTTTGTTTGACATTAACAGTGGCAGGAGTTGCCAAGCCAGTGGGTGGGAAAACGCCAGCAGCAGCAGCCAGGGCACCAAGCCACCCTGGCTCAAAACCTGCCTTCAGCTCCTAAAATGCCACTCTCCGACTCTTCCAGCCTCTGTCCTCACCTACTTCATCTGCAGCAGACAGGGAAGGTAGGCACTCAGTGACTCCTGTCTTCCCCGAATTCTCAGCACTGTTACTCCAGATACCCTCCTCTAACAACTAGCTATCTCAGAAACCAGGCCAAGGGTCACTGAGACTTGAACTCCTTGGAGCCAACTCTCAGGCACAGTCAGACCCCAACCCACCTGCTTCTGCAGAATACCAACCTCAAGATAAAATGACATGTGCCCACCCTCAGGAAGTTTTCATCACGAGTTCTCCTACTCATTTTTTGTTGTTGTTGTTTTTTTTTTTCTTTAAAACACTAAAAATGTGCTCAATAAAGCTCATGACCTGTATTTCAAGTTCTCCCCGGGGTCTGGATCATTCCACTGTTTGAAATGTCAAATATCAGTGTACCAGACCAAACATAGCCTTGAAGTGTGTGTGCAGAAACCCTCCCACCCTTTCTCACAGCCGGGCACCTCTGCAGAAGAGTGGGTGGCTGACCTACTGTGGAGGCCTAGTTGTTGACAAAGAAAACTGGGCACAGCCTACAGTTCTCAGCAGGGAAGGCCTTTCACACACATTATTACCCTGGCAGAAAGCAGGACTAAACCCCTTCTGGGTAAAGGGCAGCGCAGGAAACAAAAGCACAAAGCTCTGCGGGTGGGGCCTGTGGGGTCTACGGCACTCAAGGCTTAGCTGAGAACAGAGCAGGACATACATAGAGGAGTGGGTGGTGCTGACTTTTCAGAACCTTCCCCTGGGGAAGAACATGGGATGAGGAGATTGACACAAACCTCAGAAGAAAGACGACAAAAACAACCCATGACGCACTCATCATGGCTCCCCATGCCAGACCTCCTATTCTAGGGATGTGCTCACAAGAACCTGCCAAGCCAGTGACAAAGGCCCCTCATTCCCATGGCTGTGCTCACTATTTAATCAGACTCTGAAGCTCCTGTTGCACAGAGCCCCTCCAACACCCTGAGCATATGCTGGTCTGAAGCCTGGCGGTGAAGGTGGCCTTTTCAAGGTGCCCTACATCGGAGGCAGCATGCCCAGAGCCATTTTCACACAAAGTGGGAATGGACACGGCAACCTTTCGCCACTCACTTCCCTTGAGGAGCACAGCACTGGAGCTATTCCAATAGAGTCCCTGTCCGCATGAGTCCGGCTATTTCTCTCCAGCTTTAAGCAAGCTAGCCAGTCTCCATCTCAGCACTTCCCACACTCTGAGGTGCAATAAACACTTAAGGGAGCCTGTGAAGGCTGAGAAATGAACACAAAGACCATGCACAGTGTGCAGGTGCTTGTCAGAGCTCTTACTACAGGGGAGCTTATTTGCAAGTAATAGAGGCAGGCAGGGTTGGGGCAGCTCAGCAGAACTCACTGAGCACCAACAACGCCTCCAGCACCACAGACACAAGTATTTCACAGTGGGCTGTGGTGTGGACTCTAAGAATTACTTATTCCTTAGTTCTGAAGCAATGACAGGCCCACCACTTTCCTAACTCCTCGATGACATTGCATCCATGTCCTCCTTCCTTAGAAGGGCAGAATGCAGAAAACTCCACTTGTAAGGAGAGACAGCTTCCCCGCATGAGGGCCAGCCCAGGCCTTTCCAGTGCAAATGTACGTTCTGACTGACAACTGTCTACTGAGCTTAGTTCAGGTTGTCTGTATGAGCATATATGGAGGTGTTCCTACTAGAGCATGGACACCAGTGGCTACCCCACTGAACCAGCAACAATTAAGTGCTCTTCAGGGTGGGCGGGGTCTCTTGAGCCCACCCCATTTATGATGGAGTGATGCTGGTCCCAACTTGGGCAGGCAACCATGAGTATCTTTAATGCAAGTATTTTCAGTGGCATCTAGATTCTATGTCAGAAATCTGAAAGAAAATGCCAATTAGGGTAAGTGCATACATTTCCAATAGAACTGCTAACTATGGTACTAGAAATTGCTGTTCAACTGTATGGCAATAAATAAATATGATAGTTCCCATCAGTTTAAAAAACAAAAAATCATGGCGCAGAGTTTGTTTTTTTGTTTTGTTTTGCTTTTTTGAGACAGGGTTTTGTTGTAGTTTTAGAGCCTGTCCTGAACTAGCTCTTGTAGACCAGGCTGGCCTTGAACTCACAGAGATCCGCCTGCTTCTATCTCCCGAGTGCTGGGATTTAAGGCTGTGCCACCACTGTCTGGCAGCACAGCGTTCTTATCATACAATGTTCCCTTCCTCTGGTTTTGATATAATTTGAAAAACCTTTCCATAACTTCCTCAAATGTACACAGATAGCTTTCAAAGGCGACTTTCATGGCTATCAAAGTCAGGCTTTAAGGAATGACACTATGATTTTATAAAAGTCAGGGAGAGTCTTTCCCCCCCCCCCGAAACATTTTCTAAGACCCTGGATTCTAAAGACTTCAGAGGAAAGTTATAAAGAAAATGTAGACAAACGGGAGTGATACCACAAAAACACGCAACCAATCAACCAATCAACCAACCAAACAAACAAACAAACAAACTAAACAAACAGAAAGCAACCAGGGCTTGAGCAGGTTGGCAAGATGGATCAGTGGGTACAAGTGCTTGTCAGGCAAACCTGACACCTCAAGTTCAGTCCTCAGAACCCTGTTAATAGGAGAACCAACTCCTGAAAGCTGTCCTCCAGAATCGTGAGTGCTCACTGTACTCACACACACATACACATGGTGCAACATGTACCTATACTCACACACACACACACACACGACGCACATGTGCCTGTACTCACTCAATACACACGACGCACATGTGCCTGTACTTACACACACATATACATGATGCACATGATACTAATAATTTTTTTTTCAAAATCTAAAGGGGGGATTGGGAATATAGCTCAGTGGGAGGTTCTAGCCTTGACTGTCCAAAAGACTGGGTTTAATCTTCGGCATGGAAAAGGAGAAAGAAAAGATAAGACTCAGATCCCAAATACCCCGAGCAACAGCCTTCCTTCTATGCTTTCTCAAAACGTAGGTCTGACGTGATCCCTTACGACACTGTTTTCTGACAGACTCCCTGCAGCTCCATCATTGTTAAAGTCTTGACCTGGTTGTGGGGCAAAACTGCCATCCTCTGGAGCTGCACTAATATCACGACTTACTGTGGTAGTGAGAGGGACAGCCCAGTAGGATAACAGCAGGGCGAGGACCTGGTTAGAGCTATCCACCACACGCAGAAACCTCAGGGGAGAAGGCCCCAGAGAGAGGGCAGCCCTTCTGCAGACTCCATCCCTAACATAAGAGAATTTGAATCTGGCTCCACCAGACATGTTTCTCTGGCAAGTTTAACTTCTCTGTGCCTTAGATTTCCTGTCTGCAAAATATGGATAATACAACTCACCCCACAGTCTTAGCAAGGGTAGAATGAAGATGATATTGGGAAGATGTCTCTTATTAGATACCAATAAATCATTTTCTATTAAGTATCATCCAGAAAAGTGGATCTCAGCACTGGTGGGACTGAGGCCAGCCTGAGACACAAATCAAGTCCTAGGACAGGTTCAGCAACATGAGACTCAAACACAACACACCCATCTCTAAGTGCAGCCTTCTACCTGGGAAGGGTTTGTTTTCCTCCCCGCCTTGCAGAGGAACGCCCTTAGTCTCTCGCATATACTTCTTGGTGATGGGCAAGGACATCAGCCGAATGTGATGGATGAGTGAACGCCAGGTGTGAGCTCCCGAAAGCACTGGCTCGGGTGCTAATGAGCTAAAAGGTTGAATTACAAAGTAGGCAGCGAACATGATTAATCCCAGAGTTAGGAGGACCTAGAAGGAAAGACAAGAGTGACATTAAGAATTGCCCCAACAAGAAAGTTTCATAACACTGAGGAGAAAAACAAGCCTCTTCTGCTATTTCCAGCATACCTAGAACTGATCCACTTTCATAAACAAGCCACTTGCTTGCACCCCAAAGGCATTTAAAGCTCGAGAGCTGTGAGGCCTGCAAGGCTCCCCAAGCTTCTGCCCCACAACCAGGGGCTATGCCCACTATACTCACACAGCTTTCACTTCATGTCAGACAAGTCACATTTCCTAGCAACAGACAGCAAGAATGGCTGGTTTATGCTAGAAAACCCTAGTTCAGAGCTGGGCAGTGTGGTACACGACTTTAATCCCAGCACTGGGGGCGGGGGAGAGCCAGAGGCAGGTGGATCTCTGTGAGTTCAAGGCCAGTCAGGACAGGTTGTAAAGCTACAGAGAAACTTTGTCTCAAAAAATCAAAAAAAAAAAAAAAAAGAAAAGAAAAGAAACAACAACAACAAAACCCCACCTATTTAGTTCAGTACCGGATCATAACGGAAAGGGAAGCTGAAGCCCCTAGGATAGGCTCTACAAGCAACACTTTACCTTATATATGGCTAAGAGGAGAGGGTACTGGGGTGGTCCCCTTTGAGGTTCATTCTTCTCCAGTAGCCGTCTGATAAATTTTTCGATTGCCTTTTCTGACATTCCACACTGATGGCCTGTCTGTCTCACCAGATCAACTGTCTCTGAAAGCTTGTCATAGATGCTGATCTCATTAGCAGCGAGATCCATGTCTTCCAAAATGAAATCCCTGGAGAGAACAAAAGGACAATGAGCTTCTTTCTTCTTCTTCTTTTCTTTTGTTTTTGTTTTGAGACAGGGTTTCTCTGTGTAGCCCTGGCTGTCCTGAAGCTCTGTAGACCAGGCTGGCCTCCAACTCACAGAGATCGACCTGCCTCTACCTCCAGAATGCTGGGATTAAAGGTGTGAGCCACCACCACCAGGCAAATGACAGTTTCTTTTCTTTCTTTCTTTTTTTTTTTTTCTAAGACAGGGTTTCTCTATATAACAATCCTGGCTGTCCTCGAACTCACAGAGATCCGGGATTAAAGGCATGCACCACCACCGCCCAGAAAATGAGTTTCTTTAAGAATGCTTCCTGCCCAACAATGTTTCTTGACCCTGAGACAACAAATTTTGTGTTTTTACTCCCAAACCACAGCAAACCAATACTTCTACCAAACACAATGAAATGAGCATGGAAAGACAATGTCCAACTGTTGCATACACAAAACTTTTCTCTTCTTTTTAAATTTATTCTATTTTTAAAATTTTATTTATATATTTTTATGTGCTCTGCATGTACACCTGCAAGCCAGAAGAGGGCATCAAATTCTAATACAGATGGTTGTAGCCACCATGTGGTTGCCTGGAACTGAACTCAGGACCTCTGGAAGAGCAGCCAGTGCTCTTAACCTCTGAGCCATCTCTCCAGGCCCTGCACAACACTTTTCAAACTATCGTTTTGTTTTCTGTTTTGAGACCATATCTTGCTATGTTATTCAGGGTGTTAGAGTTCTCAGGCTTAAGTGATTTTCTTGACTTAGTCTCTCCAATGCTGAGATTACAGTCCTAGACAGGTCACTGCATCCAGTTTATGCATGACTCATAAAATGTCATTTAACCAGACTGTGTGTGGTAAGGCACATCTTTAATCCCAGCACTCAGAAGGCAGTTGCAAGTGGATCTGTGTGAGTTCCAAGCCAGCCTGATCTAAGAGTTTCCAGGCCAGTCAGGGCTACACAGTTAGACCTCAAAAATTTTTTTTTTAAAAAAATATTATGTGCATTGGTTTTGCCATGGGTGTCAGGTGCCCTAGAACTGGAGTTACAGACAGTTGTGAGCTGTGATGTGGGTGCTGGGAATTGAACTCATGTCCTCTGGAAGAGCAGTCAGGTGCTTTTAACTGCTGAGCCATCTCTCCAGCAAATATGGGACCCCCAAATTTTTAAATTAAATACGTTCAACATTTTTTCATATAGGAGGAACAGTGCTTAGGATTTTACTCCTTAAAAGCAGAGGGTTCTCTTGGTTGCCTACTTCAGTCTCAAAGTGCTTCTAACCTTGACAACTCCTGGCACGGAGCAAGTGGGTTCTTCAGTAGAAGATGCTGCACCCATCAAGCAGTCGAGCAGCTCCACAGAGAAGCAGTGGCCTGACATGTCGCTGCTCAGGACACACATGAGTGCAGCTCCTTTTCCACACTGTGCCTCCTGCCTCTCTCGGGCATCTTCTGACTGGCCTCCTTTCTGTCTAAACACTTGGTCCACTGCTCTGAACAAAGCCTGCACATCAGAATCTCCTAGAGAGCTTGCAAGGTAGATCCAACCTGCCCCTCTTGCAGGCTGCTGTGCTCACACTACACTAGCAGGCAGGGGCCCACAGAGAGTTCACGGAGCTCTGCTCATCACATCTGACTTTAGAACACTGCCATCCCAGGGGATGGGAGGTGGTGGCTTACTGCGGTTTTGATATGTATTTCTCTGAAAATTGGTGATGCTGAGCATCTTCTTGGGTGCTCATAGGCCATTGAGATCCACTTCTACAGGAAGGACTGTCTCATTATTAGTCTGTAGGAATTTCCAGTGTACTCTGTCCTAGACAGCAGACCCTTATCAGACATCGCAAACATTCCCTCTTCCTGTTGGCAGTACTAGGGTTGAACCAAAGGCTCACTTCCATTTCTCTTTCTTTCTTTCTTACTTTCTTCCTTCCTTCCTTTCTGCCTCCTTAAATATTTTTGTTTGTTTGTTTTTTGGTTTTTCAAGACAGGGTTTCTCTATGTATCTCTGGCTGTCCTGGAGCTCTATAGACCAGGCTGGACTTGAACTTACAAAGATCCTCTAGCCTCTGCCTCCCTGAGGGTTGTGATTAAAGGCGTGTACCGCCACCGCCTGGCTTCTTTCTGCCTCTTAAAAAAAAAAAGTTTATTTATTCATTAAAAGAAAGGTCTCATATAGCCCAGCCTGGCCTCAAACTTGATGTGTAGCAAAGGCCTTCCTTGAATCTAACCCTTTGGTGTGCACCACCACAGCAGGTTCTATTTGACTTCCTTTTTGTATCTTCTTTTTTTTTTTAAGTTATAAATGTGTGTGTGTGTGTGTGTGTGTGTGTGCGCGTGCACGTGTGTGGAGAGCAGAAGTTTAGCACTGCACATACTGGATATGTAAGAGCCCCGCCCCCAACTCCATTCTCTTGATGGCTTCTTTGCACCACAGCTTCTACACTCCGCAGAGGTCCAAATACTTCCTTTGCTACTTGTGCTTCGGCATCACACAGGAGAAACCAGTGCCTAGGTCAGTCTCACAGAGTTTTGTTGTTTTTTTTTTTTTAATTTTTAAAGGTTATTTTATGTATATGGGTGCATGGCTGCATACCCTATGTGTGCATGGTACACTCAGAGGCCAGAGGATGACACCAGATCCTCTAGTATAGGAGCTACAGATAGTCGTGAGTCACTATGTGGGTACTGGGAATATAACCCAGGCCCTCTGGAAAAGTCAGTGCTCTTAACCACTGAGCCATCTCTCCAGCCACACAGAGGTTTTCCTTTATGTTTTCTTCTAATTTTTTTAATTTCATTATTATTATTTTGTTTTTGAGACTGGGTTTTTCTGTGTAGCCTTGGCTGTCTTGGAACTCGCTCTGTAGACCAGGCTAGCCTCAAACAAAAATCGCCTGCCTCTGCCTCCTAAGTGTTGGGATTAAAGGCGTGCACCACCATTGTCTGGCTCTAAAAGTTTTATAATTTTAGCTTATAGATTTAGTTTTTTAAACTACCTTAAATTTTATTTTTGTGTGATATAAAGGAAGATCCAACTTCATTCTCTTACAATGGATATCCCATTGGTCCCCTACCACTGACTGAAGACATACATACATACATACATACATACATATATATATAGTGTGTGTATATGTGTGTATAGTGTATAGTGTGTGTGTGTGTGTGTGTGTGTGTGTGTGTGTGTGTGTGTGAGATGTAATGCTGGAAACTGAACCTAGGGTCTCATGTATGCTAGGTAAGCACTCTACTACTGATTCTCCTGCCTCTGCCTTTTGAGGGCTTTTAATCTTAGCACTTAGAGTGCTGAGACAGGAAGATTAAGATTTCAAGATCAGGGCTGGAGAGACAGCTCAGAGGTTAAAACGAGCATTGCCAGCTCTTCCAAAGGTCCTGAGTTCAATTCCCAGCAACCACATGGTGGCTCACAACCATCTGTAACGGGGTCTGGGGCCCTCTTCTGGCCTGCAGGAATACACACAGACAGAATATTGTATACATAATAAATAAATATTTAAAAAAAAAAGATTTCAAGGTCAATATGGGCTTAGCTACAAATCAAATGCAGACCAGCCTGGGCTACATAGAGAAATCCTGTTTTACTGTTTGTTTGTTTTTAAAGGAATACACATGTACCATGTCAGTAAGTTTTTAAGTTAAAATCATTTGGGAAATAAAGTGTGTGAAACAAGAACTGAAAAAAAAAGAACACAGAAGCTACTAGTAGGGATGTAAAATAGTACAGGCACTGTGGAAAAACAGTTGTCAGTTCACAAAGTTAGACAATGAGTTAACATGTCATATAACAATTCTACTCATAGGTTTGTACCCAAGAGAACTCAAAACATATGTCCACACAAATACTGGAAGACAAATGTTAGCAGTGGCATTATTCCTAACAGTCCTAAACCAGAAGCAATTCAATGAAGTAATGAATTCAGGAAAAAGTGGGATAGTCACTTACAGACTATCACAGGACGATAAAAAGTAATGGTGTACTAATACAAGCTATGTGTCCCAGCCTTGAAAACACTGTGACAAGCAGAAGACAATTACAGAGACCACCCGAGAGCAGGCGAGTCTACAGATAAAAAGTGGACTAATACTTGCTTGGAGAAAAGAGTGGAGAGATCCGAGAATAACTGGCGGTAGTTGGAGGCCCTCTCTCTAGAGTGACAAAATGTCCTCATCTTGAATGTCAATGATGGCTAGACAAATTGTGAGCATCAACCATGTTTTTCATGTAGGTGAACTCTGTGACATACAAATTATATCTCAATAAAGAGCTAGTGTATGTTTATGGATCTGAACATAATAAATGCTGAGGCATTTATTATTTTACACTGTGTTTTCTTTCCTATTGCCCAGACACTAGCCTCTGAGGTCTATGTCTGGTACATATAATAAAGACTTGCATATACGTGGTGACAAAGAGAATGATAAACTAGCTGAGGATCAGCAAAACAAATTATAAAAGGATTCTTTTAGAAGTCTACGGTCTGGGGAGGTGGCTTAGTCGGCAGGGCTTGCCTAGCATCCATGAGGCCCTAGGGTCATCCTTAGCACTGAGTAAACACTGACACACATCTGATGGTGCAAACAGAGGGACCAGGAGTTCACCCTCAGCTCACACAAAGTCTAGGGCAGGCCAGGAACTCACAGATATCCTCCTGTCTCTGCCTGGGATCAAAAGCACACATCAGGGCTGGAGTGATGGTTTGGTGGTTAAAAGCACTGATTTCTCCTCCAGAGGACCTGGGTTTGATTCATAGCATCTACAGGGGCCCACAACTATCAATAACTCCAGTCCCAGGGGATCTGATGCCCCGTCTGGCCTCTAAGGACACTGCAATAGGGCACAGACAGACACACAGGCAGGCAAAACACCCATACACTAAAAAATACAGTATTTTAAAGATAAAGGCATTTTAAAGGCATCCACCACTATGTCCATCCCTCCAATAGAG